TTAAAAAAAAAAAAATAACATGGAAGCTAAATGTAAAATGAAACCTGGACTGTATAGGCATAATCCCATTGAAATTGTGGCATGTTTCTGGGAAAAATAAATGAACAAATGTTGTGTTATATTTATTACTACAACAATGAAAATAACACTTCCTTTGATTTGCTTTGGAATCACCCACAATGACCAAACATCTACTCAAGTCATTTCTGTAGCCACCAAAAAAATTCATACTGCCTGCATAGAAATGTGGGAAACTTCTGAAATTAACATTATGCAAACATCCCAGACATAAACCACAATGACTGAAACCCTGCTAAACCCACTACCATCAAGTCCATTTTGACCCCTGGCAGCCACCTAGGACAGGTAGACCTGCTCCATAGGGTTTCCAAGGCTGAAATCTTTATGGAAGTCACTGGCTCCATCTTTCTTCCAAGGAGCAACTAGTGGGTTTGAACTGCTCACCTTTCAATTAGCAGCCAAGTGCTTTTAACCTTTGTACCTCCAGGTTCCCTGGAGCCATGCTAAATGCACCTAAATATAAAACATAATCCTAGAAACACATAATAATTCGAGTATTTTAAACATTCATAGATTAAGAAAAAATGTATAGCCAATTCAAAAGCCAAAGCTAAGTGTCTAAGATTCACTATTAGCCTAGATACATAATCTCCATGAGTATCTAAACCCCTCAGGACACACTGACTGTACATTCAAGTTCTTATAGAGAACAGCACTTTGCACGAAAGGGACACTCAATAAATCTGTTAAATCATCAGAGGGGAAAAATCTTAGTAGATCAGGCATTTTTGTTCAGAGCAGAAGAATCGTTTTTGAAGAAATTTAAGAAAATATCATTTAAAATATTCTTGTGATGATCATAATTTAATCTCTACTATTCTTATTGTTATTATATTATATACAATGTATATATATAATAGTATTCTATTATTCAATTACTATACAAGTCACCATGGGATCATCAGGAGGAATATCAGTGAAGTTATAGCTATTAGGGAAGTCCTTGAAGCACTATTAATATAGACATACATGAAATAAAGCAGTTATGATTTCATAGGAAAATTACAATTTTTCTGAAAGACTGCCTTATTAACATGACTAAGGACATCTTCACAACATAAGATCCTACCAGATACTTCTACAGATTTTCATCATAATTGAAAATGTATACATACATCAAAATTCTTCCTCCCTTCAATTGTTCGCACAGAGGATCAGCAAAAGCTCTGAATGCCCCCCCCCCCTCACCCCATGACAAAACACTAAAGGAAGAAAACTGAAAATTCACATCTTACTTCAAACCAACTTACTCTGACTTTTGGCAAAACTCTCCGAAGTGTCTCAGCAGGATTCTGGCGCATCAGACAGGGAAGATTTGCGATCACACTTGTCCCTTGGATATCTTGGCCAGCGCTTATGAAGGAAGCACAGATTTAAAATTTGGAATTATCTGCTGAATTCCTAGGTTATTAGTAAACATATTAAAATAAATAATAAGCATGGATTACATGAATCTTAGCCAATGCAGGTAGATATTAATTATGCTTCTGCTGAAACTAGATTATCGATATGCATTTCTTAAGTCTAAAAGACTTGAGGCTATCAATAAACACAGATTTTAAAATTCTGCCTCATTTCCTTTTTGTGACCTGCAAGTATGCTATACTTGAAAATAAACAAATAAATTGTAACGTTTCACCATGCTAAAAAATTTTTTAAATTATTTTATTGGGGGCTCATACAATTCTCATCACAATCCATACATACATCCATTGTGTCAAGCACATATGCACATTTGTTGCCCTCATCATTCTCAAAACATTTGCCT